TCAATGCATTCCTTTCCACCCAAAGAATACTTCCATAGCGCCTCTACTGCCTGCTCTCTGTCAAGAGGGTCATTGTCCAAACCAAGCATTCGAACAAACAAGGCCACATAGCTATCACCAACACTTGAAGAGCTTTTATTCCTCACTTCTTCACCATCTTCAAACTAAGCTTATACGCCAACAAACACATACCATCATCGTTCAGTATCTTAACCAGGATACACAAAGCATTAGACTTTAACCTATAATCGATGTTATTTTTCTAATACTTAGACAATCTGAGAAATCAGAGGTCATAATAGGGACTTACAGAAGCGACGGAACTTTTTTCTGTTGTATCGGAGTGTCCAGTTTCTCCACCGTGGGAACGACCAAAACTTGAATTGAGCTCGGAGAAGCCATGACGAAGATGACGATTCGAGTGGATAAGTACCGGAAAGTGGCTGAAGGAGAGTTCGCCTCGCCTTCTTCTAGGCTGTTTTCTAGCTTCGACAGTGAGAAACTGGATTTGGGTGCTCGAGATTGGTAACAGACGCAAACATCGGAGCTCGAGAACGCCGACACCAGAAGATACTGTAGAGAGTGACATAAGAAGCTAATCAGTTCGAAGTGTTTTCTTCTCCAGTGTTCGTTTGGTGCTAGTCTAGCTCTGCTAGATATACCGAGACTACTCGATTTTTTCTCTCTGATTCTTCAAAGGTCTAATCTTTTTTCTTTTCTGTCCCAAAAGGTTTATACTTTACCAAAAATGTGGTTTAGAAGCGAATTGAACTGGCAACCTCACAGGTTTAGGAGAACCTACTAGCTTCACACTTGATATTGTTTTGGTAAAAGCTTTTTGTAGGCACAGCTTCTCAACTTCAGAAGATACAAATGGCAGAAAGAGACTTGGCAAATGTAGATTTAGATGGAGCAAACGAGTTAGGAGGTTAACGTAAGAGCAAATCAATACATAACTTTTATTGTTCCCGAAAAGAAGAAAAACAAAGAACATCTTAAATTAGAAACAGTCTCAACAACTTCTACAACTTTTGAGCTTTGAACAAACTCCTCCGCTCTTCACTCGTTAACCTCCCCCTAATGCTGGTCAAGTTTAAAAAATTTGTAATCTGAGAGCATAAAAATGGCAGTTTTTTCAATCACTTCTCTACACCGACGATAAGGAGACTTGCTTCTCTTGCTTATCGTCCCCCGCAGGTGTATTCACATTCAGTTATTCCACGCTGTCATTACTGTATCGGTGAATTTGTTCAGGTCCAATGACTCCACTAGGTTCTTCACGTAGGCTAAAGCCTCAGGGTTGGCAGACACAGCAGCAGCAGCGGCACAACCAACAGCCAGAAGTGAAGCAGTGGTAGCAATACTTTTGATGCAGCCACCACTGGAGAGTTTCCCAGAGATCACCTTGCAGCATTTGTCTGCATCTTTATAAAGGGACTGGCTTGCACCATTGGCTCCTCCCTCCGCAAGAGCTTTTTCGTTCTGTAGTTAGCAATATATCATTGGATCAGAATCAGTATTTAACAGTTGATAGGGTAGTGAATTATTGACAAAGAGGTATAAAAGATGGAATATTGTTTCGGAACCTTTTGCCTCAAGCTCTTCATTGTTTGGTTGAGAGTGAGGGTTTCCGCAGGAGTCAGCTTAACAGGACGCTCCTTCCACTCGTCACTGAGCTTTTTAAGAACAGTAACACTGGCTTCCAAATTTTCGCTGTAGAGATTTTCCTGTAACCCGATCCACAAAGCAATAAGTAAAAATCCAGTCACAGCTCACAAATAACTCATCTGAGGGAAAAGATAGAGTGAATCCTACCCAGTGCTTGCAGCAATCAACGTTTTGGGTGAGAGCCCAGATAGTAATTGCAGCCGCTTCCTTGGCTAATACGGAATTTCCTGTGCCGAAATATATTACAAAATTTGAATGCATCGTCTTCTAGCGGACGTGTAGGTAGGAGTTTAGAGATAAAGTTTGGCATACCTTCCCCGGCTGCTTTCAGGGCAAACGTGAATATTTGCTGTGTGACTTGCTTCATTGCCTTGCTTCCAGGTGCACCAGCAAGAGACACCTCCTTCAGCAAAGGATATACTGCCTCAAACCTCTCTGTAGCCTGCACGTTAAACCATTTTAGAGATCAAAATCAACCCTCATTCAATTATTTTGGAATCCCAATATTACTTTACCTTCACTCTTGCAGATGATGCAGGGAAAGTTAGTCGAACCAAAATCTCAAACGAAGGAGGTGGAATCAATCGCTCTCCCTTCCTAACAGCCCCATTTACAAGTATTGACCGGGCCTTTGGGTTGGATAAGATCCTGAAAGAAAAAAACAATAACCAATATTAGATAGATAATAATCAGACATAAACAGGACATTGCATGAAAAAACTGAACTCACCTCTCAACCAACTGAAGAATGAGATCCCTCGACTGAGGATTGCAACTCTTGCTACTGACCACCGGTAACAAGTTGTGCGCCCACGAGTACAAGCCTACTGATATATCACCTTGGGAGGCCTGTGCATAGTTATCAGTAAAGAGAAAGCAAATTCAAATTTCAATCATAAAGAAAAACAAAGGTTTTGATAACTTAAGGGTCTTTGTTATACCAAGAATAAAAATTTACAAACCTGAGCGATCATCCAAACTGTAACTGGAAGCTTATCTTGTCCCTGATACTTGGGATTCTCCCTCAAAATTGGCAATATATGGGTCAGAGCATCAGGTTTCTTGCGTAATACAATTGCTACCGTCACAAATATAGCAACCTATTAATCAAATAAATTGCAAAAATATGACGTTAGACATGCAATAATAAGTTAATAACAAGTTCAATCAACTAGACTGATGCATCCACAAAACTGAAGCCATGTAATTGGTATCATTTAGACCAACAAGATAAGACAATAACATTCAGCTACCATAATACCTGAGATTTTGAAGAAGCCTGTTGTGCGCCCTTCTTATTGCCCTTGGCGGCTCCTTGTTGTACAGCCAAGTCAGCAAGAATGCAATCCAATCCCCACAATACAAAGGCTCCAAGTGCCTCAATGGGACGTTGGTTGATCCAATCAGCTGATGTCTTATAGACAGCTTCAGGAAGATGAGAGAGTGGAATCTACTGAAGAAGATTATATCAGCTCTATGAAGAAAAAGAACCCAACAACAAACTATAATCTTTTTTTTTTTTTTGCTAAGTAACAACAAACTATAATCTATGATTAGAGAAGAAACAAAACACACAATGCAGCTATTGGGAACTGTGTCTAACTAATTGTTTGACTTCATCACAATGTCAAAATAGCCGATCGAAAAGATGACTTGATGCATGGCCAAAATTGAAACTTTTGTAACGAACAGAGAGAGACAACTCACATCGATCAGTTTGGATAAAGGAGACTCCTTGAACGTTTTCACCCATGGGAAATGAGCTGATGATACTTGAGAGAGTGCTCTCCCAAAGTAATCAGCATATCTCATTAGCTGAATCTCTGGTTGACTCGCATATGATTCCTATGGAAAGATTCAAAACAAATTAATTAGCAAGACCATCACAATCTCGACTAAAACTAAAACGAATTATACAATCCATGCACATACCGAAGCTTCAACGAGGAAAGCTGCGAGATTCGATACATCAATTTTAGCAGCAGCTTCAGCTAAAGTAACCTTAGGCTTCTTCTCCTTCTTAACCTTGGGTTTCTTAACTTCCTCCGCCTTCAAATTCTCCTTCCCCACCGCTGTTTCACTGTCGCTGTCATCAAAATCATGCCCTTCATCACCGTAACCGTTAGATCTCCGTTTAGATCTCCCCCCATCAGACACATCCGCCGCATCAGAAGCCTTCTTCGCCGCGAGTATCCGTCGATGACGACCTTCAGCTTGCTCCTCAAGAGAACGGAAGACGTTGTCTCCTCCGTTGGCTAAAGCTCCATTGGGAATTAGATTTCCGGTGACACCATTCGCCGCCGCCGCTTGATCCGCAGGTTTTTGCTTCCGGTTGCGTTTTGGGTACACCACTTTCTTCCAACCATGGTCGTTGTTGTGAGAGCTAACATTGGTGGTTTCAAAGCCATTGTACTCCACGGATTCCATCGGATCTATAGCTTTTTCGAAAATTAAAAATTCAATTTTTATGCTTTTTCCCGGCGTGAAACGAGGACGACAACAATGAGACGACGTGATGACTGGACGGAGAGGTATAAATAGGTTCAAGCTGTAATGTTTATTATTTTATTATTTTATTTTTAATTTCGTTGTCGATAATATGACATTTCATTATTATTATTATAATTTTTGGCAATAATATTATGACATTTTACTTTATTGACCAAAAAAAAAAAATAATAATTACTATAATCGAAAACACGAATTAAACCATATTATGTTCGTATATGTTAGCTTTGACTCTTTGAAATGTTCGATAATTACTTTGTAGCTAAATTTTAATTTTACATTTTTTTCGATCTGATCCAAAATTAAGATCTATGGATATTTTAAATTAGAATCTGATTATTCTGATACAAAATCAAGATATCCAGATTCTATATTATTTTTTAGACTAAAATTCCTGTAATAAATAAATAAAATTTTAAATTATACGTTATGTTTTGAAAAGTTGGAATATTTATCAGAATATCCCAAATAAAATCTTCTTTATATTATTTTATAATGATATTACATAGTAGTAATTTATATAATTATTGTTATTTTAATTATTTTTAGCTATATAGTATTACGGACTATATATTTTACAGGTATGAACATATTCAATTTGTTATTTTTTTCTTAGATCTGGATAGATATTCTAAATTCTTAATTTTCTAAGTTTTTGATTTGCGTTCACTCCTGCTAGTATGGCCAAATAAAATTTTGTATTTTGTTAAAAATGCCAAAAGAAAAGAAAAAAAATGTTTAGTCAAAGTCAGATTTGAAAAAAAGGAAAAAAAAAAACTGTGAATGTGCTTATTGGTGTTTGTTTCTGATCCGATGCAAGATCATTTCATTTGTTTTCTTTGCTCTTATAGCACGGATCATAGATAATCTCCATGATAATAAAACTATGCGAGATTTTCTTAATCGTTTAAAACAGATTAAGAAAATCCAACAATTAAGAAAAACTAATATGCAGCTCGTATGAGCACATGCATATTTATTGGCAACTATAAGCAACATTGTCTATCCAGTACCAAAGAATGTGGCTACCACACTTTTCTCTAATACCTCTAAGGCTTTTCCTGATTTAATGCACCTTGGAGTCTTGTATTGACCAATAGGAGCACCTTGTGAGATGAAGAAATCCATAAGAGAGTCAAATGTCCCATGACACACCACCTTTATCTCCAATGGTCCTACTGATTCTTCTTTAAACCGACAGATCTTGTAAACATTGTCCAATGAATCCTCCATTAGTAAACAACACTTGGAGAATGTCTCTTGTTCGAGCTCCATATGCTTCTTGATCTTCCTGTCTTGGCTTTTGTCTTTTACTTCCCAATAAACAACGTAGTGACCCGGGACAGTGGAGATATCAGCATAGCTAGTGAAGTCCACTAGCATGAGATCTGATGAGTCGTCTAGAGCGAGTTTTGCGCGATTAACCGCCTTAAACAGATCCTCTTCGTTAGTCTTGTCCAAGTCAATGCTTAAAACCACGTTGTCCCTTCTTACAAACTTAAACTGTGGTGCTTTGTTGTGGAAACCAGTCACAACTAGAATATCTCCAATTCTTATTCTATATAAGCCTGAAGGAAATTATATAATGAGAGAGCAATATAACTTCTCAATAATCTCAACATTAAAAAAAAAAAAAAAAATCATAATGTTTTATGATCTAGCTCACCTGAGAAATTTGTGACCACAGCTTCATAAGAACATCCGAGTTTCACATCTCCAAGGTCAACAACATCATTCTTATCTCCATCAACTGGTATGAACTCGAAGTAGGACACATTGGGCATGAAAGTGTACGATACATCTTCAGGCTTACACATAGGATTGAGATTTAACCCGAATTGAGTCTCCGACGAAGCATAGATAGTTGAAATGAGAGGCAACATATCATTAGTGTAATAATTCAAGGTGGGAACATACTGTGCCATCGAACCTGTTACAATAGTTTCAATATATTTAGCCTTTGGCCAAAGTCTTGTGATTATACCTTTCCAACACTTTTGCTTGCAAATATTTTCAATGGTGTTTGCCATTTCAGGCTGAGCCCCACCAAGAACTTTAGACACGGAATCTCGACAACCGATGTCCGTGATCCACTCGCTGAGCTGCCCCGATCGGATGTTTGAACACAACTCCTCCCATGAATCTTCAAGAAACTTGATTACTCGAACCATGACTGAAGCAAAGATAGAACCAATTCTTGTAACCTCGTTTCTTTGAACCAGACCACAAAGCAAATGGCAGTAGAGATTCTGTTTGTAGTCTGGACATAATGTGACTTCATCAGGACTGGTGTACGTGTAGTACCAGTTCGATGGACGGTTCTTGAAATAGTTGCTCTTTAAATAGCTACTGCTTGCGACCCGAGCAGGCAAGCCAGAAGGTGTGACGGTTTCGAGTTTAGTGAAGTAAAACATCATCGCCTTTCCTTTCTCCAAACCTTCCACATTACTAGACATAACAAGAATCAATATGGTAATTATATTTAGTAATTTTATGAGTAATTTAATATTGTACATGATTTTTCGTTTTAAGCTATATATGCCTATATGGACTTACTTGCTTATAACGTGCATCCGAAGATCATACATGAAGGTCAAGTTGTCTAAATATTTCTCATTCCATGGCATCATTTTTTGTGCTCCCCCTGAAGTTCCCGTACTACAACCAACCAAGATTATGATATTTTCCCATTTGGAACTTACAAAACAATAATTAACGTAATATTTAATAACATGCAAACGTAAGCCATATCATAATCTTAGGTCTTATACTCGCAATGAAAAATACATGTATAAAAAAAGAAACCAGGAAAACCAATAAATTTTACCTTAGTACGAAACCGGTGATAGGCCGGGCCGAAAGGACATTCGACGGTTCTCCATTCACGACACGTTCGATATATGGCTTAACATCTTCATATGTTACCACCGGTACGTTCTTCTTGAATATCTCTTTATCAAATCTCCCATGAAAGAAGTTTTGGAGATATTTTGTGCTTGAGTTTAGTGTGAGTATCTCCTCCAATACATCGTCTTGTATCTGCTTTACATTTGTTGTTAAATCCTCCAGAACCTTCAGTTTATCAATTTTTTTGGTGAGATGATCACCGACGATTATATCCATATTTGGTTACCTCTCAATTCACCTGAAATTATGAACTGCGCACTTGCTTCTATTTATAGAGCAATACAAAGATGAATACTAAATCACGAAGCACCTGAAATTGATTAAACAAGTCAGAATCAGAAATATTGGTACTTGTGTGAAACGATTTTTGGAAAGATCTTAAGCTACCAAAAGATTCTTCATGTTTGTAACTTAAGACCTCGAGATATTCTAATATATGCTTGACAGAATTAGGTTTCTGAAAAATATGTATATTTTATGGCCTCAACTTCCTCGGATCTTCCGAAGCACATGCATAGCATACAGAATATTTTGAAAGTAAGCTTAAGCTTCACTTCAACTTACTGATACTTTCTTGAACTTACAATCACATGCATGCATATTAAATTATGAATAGTATACTCTTCAGTATGTATATCATCAGTAATACATGTTTTATTACTATTTTGATCCGTCTCTTATAAACCCCTAGTTAATTTGAGTATATCAGTTTATATTAGTAGTTAAAGCATTGTATTTGAGTATATCGTCATTAAATTGATACAACCCTTCAACAACTTTTCTTATTAATTATATGTTACGTTTGGCATAGGCATTCATAAATTTTCAAAAATAACATTACCAGAGAATCGTTAAAAAGGAGACGTGGATAGTATAACTTGAGAATATACAGTTCGGAGTAGCTGCCTCATGAGGTTTTCAAGAGTTGATGATCGACTTCTCACGCCATCTACCGACCAAATCTACTTGGATAATACTTGTAACTTGTAAGGTCACATGTAATGTCACATCCGACTTCAATATAATTTTGCTTATGTATAGTTTTACTTCTATATAACCCATATGTGAATTTTTATACTCGTGATTGTGATTGATAACTCCAAGAAATACATAAACTAACTGTCTAACAGATAATATATAAAATAAACAGTGAACATATCTAGAGAAATCAAAATTCGAATCCCTTATTATCTGCTTTTTTATTATCTCGTCTCAATAACCAATAAAGTTTACTCCTGGATGAAGAAAAATAAGAAAACTTCCAAACAACAATTCCACAAATTGCGCCTACATCAAAGAGTTGTGATTTTCTTGTTAACAAATTTTGGATTTTTATTTTTTGTCCGGTCATTTCTGAACCACTTGCAAAAATCAAATATACTAAAAAAAACGAAATGCAATTTTCACATTTCTGTTACTCTAAACTGCAAAAACTAATTTTTGCATAAACACATTGAGAGAAACACAAATACCAAAAAGAACTTGAAACTTTTTTTTTTCCTGAAACAATCTCATCGATCATAAGAAAGTAAGAAACAAAACAAATCATAAGTTCAAAAACATGACAAAACGAAAAAAAGAACACAAAACCAATCAGAGCAAATTCAAAAGAGAGCTTAATGAGTTGTGACTTTAAGACTAAAAGACTTGTTAATCCAAGCCTTAAAGCTTCTTCCTCCAGCTCCTTTCCTAGCTCCATTAATCGTAAAACTCGATCTTCCATTGTTTCCTTCCACCTTCTTCTCCTCTGGTTTCTTCTTACACAACATAAAGTTCCTCACTCCCACCGACCCTATTGCTTCCCATGGACTCAAAGCTACACCCACAAATAAAATAAAAAATAATACAAATTAAGAGAATTCACAAACCATAGAAACCAAAAAAATACTCAAAAGGGAATTTGAGAAGTCACCTCCAGGTCCAACCATTGGACAATAGAAAACAAAGTCATTGAAATCAGATCCAAGAATGGGAAGACGACCTTCTCTAGCATAACATTTCAAAGCAGTATCAATCACAGCTGCAACGAGATCACCTTCATTAGCAACGAACCTGATCGGACCAGCACTTCCAAGAAACGTTACGCTTATCAAGATTCTGTTTCCTTTAACCATCTGATTCTTCTTCTTGTAAAGCAACATCCTTTTTTTTTATATATATATAATTTTTAAAAACAGATCTTATAAGATGAATGATGTTTTGTCACGGGTCGAGGCCGATGCAACGGTAGTACCAGCCTTGTTTGCAAGAACCAAATGCGAAAACAGAGTCTGTGGAGACAGGGATGATTATAAAGCTCTCCCTTTTTGTTGAAAGGGTGAGCCTAAGATTATCACCGATCCGATTAGTTTCCACCATTCACAAACGCCACCGGAGATTAACACAGCTTATAATATTCCGACGAGGATTTGCCGGAATGTTTTTAGGAAAGATGAGATTTTTGGGTTTTCTCTGCGGTGGCGAAAGGTGGAAACTTTAAGGAGGAATCCGAGAGGATGAAGAAGATTGAAAAAAAAATGGGGAAAATATCGAATTTGTGATTATGATCGGAAGAGGTGTGTAGAGGTATTTAAGGTTTGGTGTTTTAAGGTCCTTTTTGATAAATTTTAAAACTTCTTGGGGAAATTTTGGAATTTTGGAATATTCTCTATTGTTGTTGTTACATTCGTGTTTGTTTTGCATCCATATTTTAAGGAACGTGAGATTTGTTCGTTCTGTTCCAATTTGTATGCATACTTCTAAACAATTCTAAATCGACATGACAGTTCAAAAAATTTCGGAGGAAAAGATCAAAAGATGTACCATAAAAAAAAAATAGTAGATATTCCAAGTAGAATCCTACAAAATATGATTTTTCTAACGACAGGAGTTCTAGACTATTTTAAAGGAAATTATTATATGTATTTTTTTTTCATCCTAGAACTGAAAATCTAATTTCAAAATAAACCTTGTGATGATATATATATACACTTCTTAATTTTAGCGGTGGTAGCTTCAAAAATAAAATAATGCAAACCCAATATACAAAGTTATTTTATATCATTTAACGATCGGTGTAATTAAATATTTTGTTATATACAATTAATAGTTCGAAGAAGCTTATATATGGATCAGTCAGTATCACGGCGACATCTTGTAATTTTTGAACATCCTCGACGATATGGATTCGCCGGTTGTTTTGGACACGTTTTTGGATTTTTAGGATCACATACTGGTTTTATTGGTGCGTAAGGATTAGTTCGGTCTTCACCAGCAAATCCTTTTTTTGGATATCCGATTTCTCTTCCAGCTTCAACGTTCATGATGCTTATTATAAACACAAATGATACGAGTATTGCCATGAGACGAATCAACCTACTTGTTCCTCTCAAGTTGCTCATGATTCTAATATATAATATTCTTGTGAATTGAAGAACAAAAATGTTTCAATCCGTTATTTATATAGTGGATAAATAATTTATATGAAAGATTATTTATATACATATTAGAGTTTTAGTATACATTTATTTGTTTAGAAGTGAATTTACATAACTTTAATCTTTAATCTTTAGTTGTATATATGTCTTAAATCTATTTGATGGTCTAAAGAATTTACTTTGTCTACATGTCTTTTTGGGGAAATATGTATCTTGTGTCATGAAGTAATTGAGATTGTCTTTTGGAAAAGAAAACCATTGTCTTTACTTATTATTATCCCATATATGTATAATTGAAAAGCAAAAAAAAATCCCACAAAGCTCAAATTTTATATGATTTTGCATATTTGTAATATTTTATTGAACATATAGGTTTTTTTGGTTTTTTATATAAGGAGGATTTTTTTTGTCAACATTAGGCCACAATAAGCCGACCCATTAATCAAATTCTTACATTCGTTGGGGGTGGGATTCGATTCTTGGTGTGATGTTGTATGCTCTGAGTATAAAGGAGGATTATGTTTAGATTTTATAAAAACGCGAAAATATATTTCGGTTTGAGTTTAGAAAAGAGGGGATAAGGTTAAAATTTTATAATTAAACAAAATTTTATTTCGGTTTGGGTTCATAAAAGAGTGGTTAACATTTTTTATTTTTCTGGTTTTAATTTTTAAATATAATATGACATAACATATTATTGTATTCTGATTGATTAATTATGAGGAAGTAAATAAGAGAGGTTCATCTCTTAGGAATGAATAAAAAAGGTTCATCCCCTAGAGGTGAATAAGAGAGGTTCATCCCCTATGGGTGAACCTATTGTCCCTACAAATATACACTACTTTGTATAGAAATATATTTCCATGCAGTATATTCTTAAAAACATTTTAAAATTCATAATTGAGTAATACACGATTTGTTACCTTAAAACAAATTGTTTCAAATGTTGACTGAAACAAAGTCTCATTTACTTAAACAGTACTATGTATACACAATTCTACATAAACTATACACCTATATATAAGATTAAACCATTTTGTTGTTCTATATGCAAATAAAATTATTTAAATAAAATCAAAAGATATATATCATGAGTAACTTAAAAGCAACAAGATTCGTACTTGTGGCAATACTCGTGTTATCATGTGTGTTTATGAACATCATGAAGGTGGAAGCTCGAAAAGAACTTGGATATGGAGCAATGAGACATGATGTCGCATCTGGATGTAATCGTAAGTATCCTTCAACATGTCGACCAAAACGACCGGTGAATTCATATAGACGAGGATGTGAGAAAAGTACGAGATGTGATCGAGTTGGTGATGACAAAGACCAAGGAGTTCTTTCAAACAATTTATAATGAAAACATATTTGAAATGTAACTACACGATATGATCATTAATGAATGTATCCATGATTTTGTTAACGCTAGCAAAAATATGGCGTAAAGTTGCAGTGATCTATTTAAAAAAAATCCCTCTTCAGTTTCTCAACAGTTTATTAAACAAATGTTATCGTTTAGATCTATGGTACTTATATATACGATTTTGGAATTACATGTATCTTATATAAGATATATCAGCTATATAGGTATATATCTCTTCAAAAATGATTCTTTTTTTTTGCTATCAAAAATGTTTAAACCATGATATATATGTAGTGAAAAGATTTATGAAAGTTTAGCTATACATATTAAAATTTAAGTGAATTTATTTATTTTAGTTAATCATTGTGAGGTGATTTTTTAATTTTATATTCTTAGATGTATTTGTGTCACTACATTTTATCTACATTTCTTAAATAGAGATAATGCTAAATTCGGGATATGTAGAGTGAATAATTTTTATGATGGATATATATAAAAAGTAATTATTATAAAATTGAATTTATATTAAAAAATACAGATTGATATAATTTGTCTAGATTTAGATGTATTTATGTGATAATATTATTGGGAGGTCTATTAAAATGATTTCTTGTATAGGACATGAAATCTGTACATATTAGTGTTCATAATAAGTATGATTTTTTTTTTTTTACTATATGATGACATGATTTTACTTTGTCATAAAATTATTGGTTGGCCTATTGAAACAAATCACAACTCTTACTAAAAGTGTTGTCTTGTTGCTATGAAGTTGTGGATGCCTTTCATGTATTTTGTTATTATCATCTCAAAAACCAAAAGAAAACAATTTAACTCTTACGACTAAATCAAAGCATATTAAAGATTCTCCAGACGATGCTTACGTAAACCAAAAAAAAAAGGGCAGGAGACTTTTTACAGAGGCCTTAAACATCATTCATTCTGTTTTGACTATTCTACTGCAACTTCTTCTCTTCTGATAATCAAAGGACAAGACAAAAGACAAAGAGGCAAGTGAATTTGTCGGAGAAGACATGGAGAATCTGGTTGGACTTCTTAGAATCAGAGTGAAGAGAGGGATTAATCTTGTTAGTCGTGATTCTAATACCAGCGACCCTTTCGTCGTCATAACCATGGGTTCTCAGGTATCTCTTATGTTCTCTGTCATAACCATTGTGTTCTGATTCGTCTGAGATATGATTGAGTATCCCATTTATACTCTATAGATTACAATTTCTAAAAATGGAACCTTTAGATGATTTGGGAATTACTCTGATTGTGATGGAACTTATTTATAAAGGAGGTTTAAGAGACTTTTGACGATTTCAATCAATTTGCTTCAGAAACTGAAGACTCGTGGTGTGGAAAATAGCTGCAACCCTGAGTGGGACGATGAATTGACGCTTGGAATCAATGATCCTAATCAACATGTGAATCTCGTGAGTTAGTTCTTGATTTTCTTGAAATATGCTTCTTTGTTGTTAGATTCTTGATCTTCCAGAAAAAGTCTTTTTAAAAAAAAGTAATTTATTTGAGGTTCCGTGAAGATATTATGTTTCTGATTGTTTTCTATAATGAATCCTTGTAGGAAGTGTATGATAAGGATACATTCACCTCGCATGACACGATGGGAGATGCGAAGATAGACATCACGCCGTTTTTTGAGGCTCAAGGAATGGATGTTCAAGAACTCTCTGATGAAACCGAGATCCGTAGAGTGAAGCCGAGTGGAGACAACTGTTTGGCTGAAGAGAGCAGAATCATCTTTAGTAATGGAAAGATTGTCCAAGATATGATTCTCAAGCTGAGAAATGTTGAAACCGGCAAGGTTGAGATACAAATCGAGTGGATCAATGTTCCTGGTTCAAGCGATCTTTGAAAGACACATGTATATTCTGTAGAGCAAGTTTCTTGAATTGTATTATATTGTAATAAGGCAGTGACAATGTCAATATACTCATACCTAACTCATAATGTTATAACTTGCATATGCGCACACACATAGAGTAAGAGTACTTTATGGCTTGGACAAGAGGTTTTCAATGAACTCTTTAATTTGGACACTTTTGATTTAATGAACTATAGGGTGAGCCACACAACATGTTGCAAACTTGCAAGTTGATTAGAACTCAAACATATACGTGATAGTAACTCTAGTTTATGATATGCAATTAAAATTTTTAACTAGTAGTACTAGACATGGTTATGTTACATTTTCATAACTTTTTTGTTTGATTATTTTTACTATGTGGAATGTTAATTAGTTTAACGTTAAGTCTACTTAGATACATATTTCTGAATTTTATAGAATTAAATCACTCTTATTTTAACTAGTTGAACTAGTATCATGCTTTAACCCTATTAGAAAAAATTGATACTAGATTTGGCCACACCTGACCGTAGTATTTTTACATCTCACACAAAGAGCCTCTACACCTCAGACAAGAGGTGTTCGTCGATCTCTTTGGACATTGATTTGAAGAACGGCAGCATATTCTCCGGGTGAGCCACGTTCTCGTCAATCTTCTCGTACTTCCCGTGCCAGTTAACCACACTTCCAGGCCCTCCTTGCTTGGGAGTCACCTGGATCTTGAGCACGAAGCTCTTGAACTCATTCATTAGATCACCTTCTATCACACTAAACGTGATCGAATTCTTCTCCGGCTCCACTGCCTCGATCCTATCCTTGGCTATCTTTGGCTGTCCATCTAGGCAAAAACATTTTCACCAATCATTTTTTCTTTTTTCACTTTTGTTTCAACTTAACTGTCGCAATTTCATAAGTTTCAATAATTCGATTATATTGTTACCTGATATTATTTCGATTATATAAAATAAAATTTATTGTCTAGATCTTCTGAAGGATAAAATTTGAATTTAAAAATATATATATATATATATATATAAATGTAAACCATATTTTTGTGTATTAGTAACATTAGATTTACCAAGAACGTAGTTCCAAGTGACGATTGTGCCAACTTTTCCCCACTCTCCCTCATGAAGATCACATCTTTGGATGTTGTTAGGAGTGGCTTTCGACATATGGTGTGGTCTTCCCGCAAGCATATGGTGGAACTTCCCCGCTGGAGCTCTAATCTCAACGTCCAATACAAGCTCCCCAAACAGAGCTGACATCTCTGGCGTTGCCTCTACCGCCTCCATGATTTCTTTTGGCTTGTGGAATTGCAATTAGAGTGAGTGACTCCCTTATGAGAGAGTAGACCCCTTTTATGGACAAGATAAATTAAATAAAGGAGATCGTGCCTGAGCAGCTACTGAAAGAAGACAAATGAGAAGATTTCACTATTTATAGTACTAGTAGGTAAGTTGTCACTTGAGCGGATAAGTTATATTTATCCCACCTATCGTCGTCCCATGCCATATCATTCATGACTCATTGCAAAAATAAATGATTATAGATTTATTATCTGATCAAGCACTCATTGTATATTGAAATATTAGAGTAAAATTGGTAGAAAGTGACCACTACAAAACAATATTTAAATTTTCTAATTTTATGTGCTTTCCGAAAATTTTGGCCTTTCTAATTTTTTCTCTTCTGTATATTATTAGCACACAGTATGTATGAGTAGAAAAAGAAAAGCAAAATCCAGTGCTAGTTATCTAATGTGGAACATTAGGTAGATACAAATACAACTACTACCACCATGACACATTTCGAATAAAATAACTAATATTAGTCGTTGATATATCCTATTGATTGATATCAAAGTCTTCAGCAAGCTGTATTCATATATATATATATATATCTCATTATTAAGTCTAATGAATTAGTCATTCACATGTAACATATGAAATGTGACATGTTACCTACCTATCTATGTATATGCCAATCGTTTACTCATGAGAAAAAAAAATTCAGCTACGTTTAAGATTGTTATAACGTGGAAGTATGAATTTCATGGTCACTGAGGACCTGCGAATCTGGGATGCAACTGAATCCACTGACGCTAAGAAAAAAATGCTAAAAATACAAAAGACTTATTTTAGCTAGCAATGAAAAAAAAAACTCTTTATATAGACGATGAAGAATCTTGAAATAGAAAGTGTTTAAGTGTGTCTTAGTTAATGCTTCTTACTTATGAAAACTATGATGTTATTACGAATGTGGGAAAAATAATATAACCGTAACTCGTTTCACTTAATTACTACGTATTTGACTACATCAATGGACAGAAGAACGATTTTGTTAATTGGAAGCTGATTATTCTGTATGGGAAAAGGGAGGTTTAATTTAAAGCAAATTTAAAATGCATTTTTACATAAATTTATGGTATGTTCTATAACGTACAGAATTTTCGTTATTATTACAAACTATTTATTCATTCATTGTTGAAAAGAGAATAAGCATAGGCGAAGCCTATATAGATCAACACAATTACACAAAGGTCACAGTTTGCAACTAATACAACTTCAAGCGTAAGTAAACAAACTCTGCAATAGCGGACACCACATATGACATACTTGCAGACTAGATCTCTTCATAGAGAGAGCACATTATTGAGACATCTTACACAACACCACAACACATAGATAGATAAATAGATTGATATCCGAAGAGTCCTCTAGACTTCGGACAATAGCATTTCTCCCATGTCTCTGGATGCCTTAATAATCAAGGCGAGCAGTTTCTCCGGGTGAGCCACCTTCTCGTCAATCCTCTCATATTTGAAGTGACAGCTAACCACACTTCCAGGTCCTCTTAGCTTTGGGGTTGCATGGATAGAGATGAAGAAGCTCTTGAAGTCTTTCATCATATCTCCATCGATTACCTTGAACACTAACAGATTCTTCTCATGATCAACTGCCATGATCCTCTGCTTCATCACCTTTGGCTCCCCATCTGCATCCATAACGAAAGGGTTTATCAATAAAATCTCTTATGTTGTTTCATAAATATATATCCAGATAAATGTTTGTGTTTACCAATCACATAGTTCCAGACAATGACACTGCCAAGTTTGCCAAACTCCCCCTGACGCAAAGTACATCCCTTGACGTTGTCAGGAGTGGATTTTGCAATATCATTTGGTCTTCCAGCAAGCATTTGGTAGTACTTCTTTGCCGAAGCTTTGATCTCAACATCTTCCTTAAGCTCGCCTTCTAGAGAAGACTGACGTGTAGCTTGTGCCATTTTTTTTATACAGATGTTTTGCTTCTCGAGATTTTTAATGTGAGGTGAGTGACTCTCTTTGAAATTCATAGCCACTTTTATAGAGGAAAAATGAGCAATTTGTGACTAGGCAATAATTAAACTTGTGGTATTATTTTACTTAAAAGTTTATGCTCTGATCATGACCATTTTTTATTCCCTGTGTTTTAGTTGTTTCATGGTAGCCTGGTAGGGCTTGTTTTCAGTTGCTTGGTTTACGTTTGCGTTTAGATGCATGTTTATATTCTTATCTTATTAACGTTCAGCACAAAACATTTAAGTGGTTTTTTTTTTCCAAAAATCATTGTAAAGTTATAGTAAGAACTGTATGCGGCAGATAAATATGTTTGCAGATTGGAGAGTTTCGTCTTTACCATTCATAAATTATACTTTATAGTAACGTAGACCAAAACAAATATCAACTACATATCAGTTTAACGTAGAAACAAATTCAATTGGCGAATTGTTATCTGCTTGAGAGTAGTCTAACATTTTGATAGTTTATTATGCTTCACCCGCAATGGTATAATATGTCGAATCACTCAATGAATGGCTAATAACAACTATAGAATTCATGTAGTCATGCATGGGAATCATTTCAGTGATGTGTCTCCACTAAAATAATATGGCGTGTTTCAAGATTGTTATAGGCTGCTATTATTGACCACTTCCATCTTACCAAAGACAAGACTAGACCCGTGTACAAAACCGATACCATAATTCAGACAAGGTATGCTGTCTTGAGGACGTGCATGTAGTGATGTAGAATCTGCAAATTAAAATAACTTCTCCTATGTATAGTCCCATTCCCATATGACTTATCACAACACTACTATTTATAGATTATGGGGAAAACATGTGGTGTATGTATAATGTATCCAATAACTTTAAGAAAATGGTTGTATGGGCATGAAAAATATACTAATAGAAATTATGTAAATATTATGGCGAAAAATAAGACCATTTAAGAACAAGGAAATCCAAAAGCCAATGGTCCTGAACGAAAACCACAGGAAGAATAAGAAGAACCTGAACTGACGGTGGAAAATAAACGAGAGGAATAATCTCAAATAAAATCTAAAATTTGAGAAAACGTATACTAATCCAAAATAGAGTTAAAAGGGAATTACTTTTATCATTTTCTTGTCAATTTTCTCTTTTGTGAAATTCCTAAAATCTTTATTCTTTAGGTAAAATGTACGTCTCGTATAACTTCGATGCATGTTGTTAGAAGTGGTCTCAACACATGGTGTGTTCTTCCGGCAAGCATATGGTGGAACTTCCCCGCCGGAGCTTTAAACGTCCAATACAAGCTCGCCAAACATCTCTGGCGTTGCCTTTACCACTTTAATAATGTCTTTTGCCAAATGAAAATCCAATTATATATAGTGATTGTAACAATAAAATAATGGTAGATACTACTGTATTAACTTGCACGATATTATATTTTAAATTTCCTATGATGTCAATTTTTTATAACATTCCCCAAGAATCTTCATAGTACGGAGATATGCATGTTTTGGTGCATATTTTCTGATTCAATTAGGTAAACTATCCTCGAGTGGGTGAGGGTAAGAGCACAATTTGACCACCAAAATGATGTAAAATATTGACTCGAAAAAAATTGACATAATGTAGTTTTGAACTTTCGAAAAAATATATATCCTTGTAATTAACATACCGACCTTTAGTTATTGTACTTAAGAAATATATATATATATATATTTGACGCTTTGTATTTTCTTTAAACGTAACATAACATGCTTATTAGAGGCAAACTTATAGCAATACAGATTACAGTTCCCAAGTAATGACAACTTCAAACGTACGTTACACAAACTCTGCGATACTTGCAGATTAGATCTCTTCATAGAGAGAGCACATTATTGAGACATCTTACAGTACACACACAAACATAGATAGATAGATGGATATCCGACAAGTTCTCTAGACTTGGGATAAAATAAATTTGTCCATGTCTCTGGATGTCTTGACAATGAACGCGAGCAGCTTCTCCGGGTGAGCCACCTTCTCGTCATTCCTCTCGTATTTGATGTGACAGTTAACCACACTTCCAGATCCGCTTAGCTTTGGGGTTGCCTGGATAGTGATCAAGAAGCTCTTGAAATTTTTCATCAAATCTCCATCTATCACCCTGAGCACTATCAGATTCTTTTCATGATCCACTGCCTCGATCCTCTCTTTCGCCACCTCCTGCTTCCCATCTGCACCAAAAACGATTAAACGTTTTTCAGAATCAGAGCTATATATATATAAAAATATATTTTTAAATAAACGTTTTTCTTTACCAAGAACATAGTTCCACGAAATGACACTTCCAACTTTGCCAAACTCTCCCTCACGCAAAGTACATCCCTTGATGCTCTCAGGAGTGGCTTTTGCAAGATCATGTGGTCTTCCGGCGAGCATTTGGTGGTACTTCTTTCCCGAGGATTTGATCTCAATAGCTTCCTCAAGCTCTCCTTGCAAAGAAGACTGGCGCATAGCTTGTGCCATTTTGTTTCTATACGTCAGGTGTTGCTTCTCTAGGTTTTAGTGAGAGTGAGTGAGTCTCTTTGGAAATTCATAGCCACTTTTATAGAGGAAATGATGAGCAATTTGTAACTAGGAAAGAATAATATTGACTTAAAGTTTATGTTCTGGTGACCATATTTTTATTCCCTGAATTTTAATTGTTATATTTGAAAATTGCTAAACTATTGTTTACTGCTTAATTTTCTTCGCTTGGTTTATGTTGGCGTTTGGAGGATACATGTTAAATTCTTCTGTTAACGTTCAGTACATAATTCATACTTTAGTGTCATTTTCAAATATCATTGTAAAATTATAATAAACTACGTACCAAAAGAAAATAACTGTTTGCGTGGTTTAATGGTTCACCTAGTAAGACTGGTTTGTGGTTTTATGGACTTCTATTGGCATTTTATGTCAATAGCCCACACCATTTAAACTAAACTACTTTTTATTTTATTTTATTTTTTTTGGACAAAAACCCTAAATTATTAAAACTTAAGTTTCACGAGTCGTTCTAAAACGTCAGAGCTGCGGGATGTTGGAATATATATGCATGCATCAGCATCATGCATGGTCCCTTTACGGATGGAAAAGAATACGAAGAACCTGAATTGAGGGGTACACAAAAAAAAAGAGGAATAATGCCAAATAAAATCTGAATTTGATAAATATAATATTATCCAAATATAGCAAAAGAAGGATATGTTTGATTGGATGAATAAATAAATAAATAAATAAGTAAAAAAGAAGAAGGAATCACTTATGTTTTAGATTTGTCAATTTTCTCTTTTGGGAAATTCGATGGAATTTCGTGAAACTTAGTTTTAGCTTGAGAAATATAAACTCCATATATATAACTGAATAATCAAAAATACACATAAGTATAGGTGTAATATAAAATAAGAATATAAATAAACTATATTCAAAGCTATCCAATAGTCATGTATTTGAGAATTTTCTACTATTTTCTTGTCTTTTTAAGAATTGTGTGAGCATTTTAGTATGAAATGGTAGGCAATATGAAAAAGAACAACAAGTAAAAATTTGAAATAGGTAATTCCTAAGATCTATCCATATGTGTACAATATTTTATATTAGTTAATGCAATATATTTTATGTTATCATATCCATGGTCCTAAACTAATTAATAACTACAACAAACCAAAAAAAAACTATACATATTGAAGAACTATGAGCAAGTCCCAAGATGGACCAAAAAAGAGAACTATAGACTTGCTTAACATGATTTGATTAAATTTATTTAACAAGCAATCAACTCCGGAGACACTCATGACAAGTTCATGATTCAGACAACAACCTAGTCTCTAGGTCGCGAGTGTAATCTGCAACGAAGGCAGTGTATCTGGTAGGAGAAGGAACGTCTTCGTTTAGCTTCTCGTAATCCCATGTCCACTTGGCAATACAAACTTGGTCATCTTTGGGGATAACGTCAAGTGTTATCTTATAGCTCTTGTATTGCTTCAACACATCTCCTTCAAGAGCTAAGAAAGACACTGACTTGTTCTCTTCATCTACCTCTATCTTCTCTGTGATTTGCTCCATCTTTCCATCTATAATAAATCCAAACGTAACCGATCGACTGAATTCAAGAACTAGACTCTTTTTTCAAGAATTCGATAAAAGTCAATGAGTTACATACCTACGGTGAAATTCCAGATCTGAATAGAGGAGTTAGATGTGGGATCGTCACGATGAACAGAAACTGCCTCTGTCTTGTCTGTGAAATTCCCTTCTTTCTTCTTGAAGGTATTGAAGAACCTATCAGCCGTCATGTTTACTTGGATCTCTAGTTCAAGAGTCTGGACACCAGCCATGGCTCCACGATTCTCTAGTCTCTCACTCGGATCACTCTTTTTGTGTAATCTATCATTACCATGACATAAAGAACAGAGTAAACCCAAAAACAAGAATAAAAAAAGAGAGGTGGTTGTTACGTTACAGCTTCTTGATAAGCATAACACGTGTTGTGTTGACTTTGCTGGCGTCGACGAATACACACGATGGTTGATGGTTCAACTACATTTAACTACAATAATATATACAACAATATAATAATGAGTGTTAGCATCCGATGAGAAAAGTCTAGAGACTAATCAATATAAGTGCATTTTAGTCTTGTAGACTAGACCAATTTTATTTTGCCTTAACCAAGCAACAGGAAGTATAATCTACTTTATATGAGAATATAGTTTATTAACTAGTAACTAATTTTTATTTTTTTTATTAATGTCTTTTTTTTTGTATGTAGAATTTTCTCTGTTTGAAACTATATGTATTATATACACAAAAAAATGTCAAATGTTACAAAATAAGATTGTCCCAAACTACTATAGCCTAAGTTATGTTAAACTAGCACAAAAGATGAGATCTTCTTTTGTCTACAAAACATATGAAAATATATATTACTCTTGTTGAAAATTTTGGAATGAACCAAGTCGCCTTGGTCAAGTAATAAAGGGAAGTAAATTCTGTCACCTGGATTTAAATAGCATTGATTACGGAAGTTTGAGATTTAACATGGGTTTCTCCAGCCCTAAAAATTTGAAATAGGTTAAAATATTTTATTTCCTATAAAGTTTTTGGAATCACTCATTAATAAAATTAAAAAAAATGGAATGGGTTAAAATATTTCATTTCCGAAAGCAAAAACCAATTTATAGTCTACAAGATACAAATACTCAAGGCCTTAAATGTTTCACCATCTCCAAAAGAGGACATCTCATATACAAAAAATATTTCCAACACAGTAGACGTTGGGCTTACCTTATATCTAGCCCACACTTATAAAACCATGCACGAAGTTAGACAGTTGACTGACTCTGAGAAACGCTCTAGATTCAGATCAAACCGGTATATAACCGGACCGGGTTAACCGCAGTAAGAATACTGATTTTTTATTCTTTTTGGTCAACTAATACTGATTTAAGAGAATATGCCGTGGAGTAGAGAGAGTTAAGGAAGAAGATTCGTCAGTCATTCGCATCTCTCTGACTCTGATTCTCTCTGCTTCTACTTGTTCCTTCTCTCCATTTATACATTTCTTCTCCAATCCTTCTTCTCGAGTTTCTACGGCCATATTCCTCCAGGTTCGATCTCTCTATCTCTCTTTGCAAAACTGTGTTTATACTCAATAGTTTTGCATGTACATTTCCTGTAATAGCTGTGTGTGTTTGCTTCTTCTAAGCTTTTCCGTTGAATTTGTTCAAAACGTTATATTCTTGGTGGATTATGATATGTATTCATTAGTCTCAATCTTGGATCATTTGGTTCTGCGTTTATCTGAACTCTTCTCCCTTATTCACGTAATATTCATTACAAAAGGGAAGAAACACACAGAGACAATTCTGGTCATTGAGAATTCAATTTTTTCGGTGTTGACTTATAGACAATTTCGCTAGCAAAACCTGGTTTATGAATTATTAAGTGTTAGTTTATGAATATTTTTGTTTTGTAATCAGAACAGAACAAACAAGGCCAGCTAGTAGTTTGTGCTCCGCTGGCGTATAGAGATTTTGATTACAAACCATACTGATTGCTCAAGGCAGTTAGGGAAGCTTCCATGAGCCTGCAAAATGTATCAAAGTCGAGCAGTGCCCTTGATGGTATCCATGGGGTTCATGTCGTGTCTCATTCACCCTTCTCATTTGAGAAGACAACTCAAGTTGGTGACTTTGGGACTAACACCAAATCCTCCGTCATGGAATCAAATCAGCGACTGTCCATCGAGTATGTTGCTTAACCATTTGGCTGTGACATTTTCAGCTTCGAAAAAGAGTTCAATTTCTGATTCGGTTTCTCTTTTACAGACGTTTTTGGCAACAAAGACCTCCATGCCTAAGACCAATCTGTTGTAGCATTCGCGGTATAAAACCTTCCGTCTTGCTTCTGGACTCAAAGTGATTAATCAGTCTAACATTATGCAATCCAAACATATGACAGGTGACCAGAGTGTCTTAGAAACAGCTGCTAATGTGGCTACTTCACTTCCTTTTATATTCCTCGGCATGCAGGCACCAAGGTAAATGCTCTCTTTGCAAAAATCCTAACAAGTAGAGTTTCTCTGACAAGATACTATGCTATGTAGGAAGAACCTGAACACAAAGGTGTACGCAAACTCCCTAATTGGAGTAGGAATAGCGTCAAGTCTGTATCATGCCTCTAGGGGAAAGTTGAGGAAGTACCTGAGATGGGTAGATTACACAATGATAGCCACAACTACAGTAGTAAGTTCCACTCTTCTTAAACCCATCTCCAAAATCTATCTTCTCCCAACTTAACCTTTTTGATTCTGGTTGTGGTTTGTACAGTGTCTCTCAAGGGCTCTAAGGAACGAGAACCCAAAGTTTCTGATGGCTGCTTCAGCTTTAGTTCTACCTTTTCAGCCTCTTATGGTCTCTGCAGTTCACACTGGAATGATGGAGGTCGCATTTGCTAAAAGAAGCTTAAAGGATCCAGACCTCAAAACAGCTCATAACGTACACAAAATGTCTTCATTACTAGGAGGTGCTCTGTTCATAGCCGATGATTTCTTCCCCGAGACACCTTTCCTTCACGCAGGTTGGCACCTCGCTGCAGCCATAGGAGTTGGAACATGCAATAAGCTACTCGAGTAGATTAAGAATTCCAAAACTGCTATGGAATTTCTCTATTCTTGGAAACAGAGACACCAATCTCTGTTTCTCCTAATCAGCCGACATAACTAAGAAGAATTCTATAGAATTGTAGTCAATAAAATCCGAGGCATTCTCAATCATAAGAAAATTATTGAATTATAAAAACTTGTTGTCAACAGTGAAGAACAATCAATCATAACAACAGATCGAAAATGTCGAACTCAAATTGCGGACAACAAATCCGATGATCAATCACCAATTGCTCCAATTCTATCTCTTCAACAAATCAATCGTGAAGTGTAGCCATGATATCTTCATCCCTATACAATAGGAACCTGCAAAGAGAGACGAAACACACAGTGAAATGAGTCCAAACTGGAAAAAGACGATAAACTTAGTATTCTTAGAGGAAATATATAGAACAGGATAAGAACATACTCTTTCTCTCCAAGCTTAACTTCAGTACCACCAAATTCAGGCAAAAGAACACTGTCTCCTTCCTTAACCGAAACAGGAATCAGATTCCCTGCTCTGTCTCTAGCTCCAGGACCAACTGCTATCACCTTCCCCGAATTCAACTGCGTTCGAATCAAATCAAAAACTAATTATGGTTCGCCCAATCGAAGTAACGAGTAAAAAAGAGATGAAAGAGTTTCTTTTACCTGAGCTGATTTCTCCGGTAAGAGAATGCCGGAGACAGTCTTCGACGGTGGAAGAACCTTCTCCACCAATACACGGTTAAGTGTCGGGATCAAACGCTTCGCCATTTCTCAATTGATTCGACGACGACGACGGAGATCGGATCAAACGCTCTGCTCGAGTTCGACTAGATTTAGCTGGTACACGAATATTCTAGGGTCTAGTCTAGGGTTTAAGCAGAATAGATGATTTACTGTAGTTACTTGGACTTTACGCAGGCCCAGGCCCATTAAGTATCTCTAAAATAGCGACGATTAGAGCCTTTTGATTTTTTTTTTACTTTATTTCATGTTCAATAATGAGTCAAATAAAGAGTAGGGTACATACATGAACTAATTTTTCAATTTTCATTAATTAGGTCAATGGTATTGGCTGATATTAAAGTTTTCCTCTTGATGTAACCAAATTAGTTTTTGTTCATTTAGTTGTAATATATTTATGATATATATGTTTACTAAAGAGTCCGATAACGTGTTAAAATCACATACTTTTGTTTAAGTTTATAACATTCTTTTTTTTGTCACTTTATACCAAAATACTCTTTTTATGTATTTTTTATATTTGTGTCCGTAAAATATCATGAGTTTTACGTCTGGTATCTCTATATTAGTAAAAAAGAAGTACAAAATAGAATACGGGTCGGGTCAAAATTAAAAAATTAACCCGATTTTAACAATTGGATACTTCAAAACTGGATATTAAAATGGGTTTGGATATATGTATCGGATACTTTCCATATCTAATTTTAAGATTATATTATTTCCATAACTAATTTTATGATTTCCTAATATTTTTCTAACTAATTTAATATAATATCTTAAAAACAATTATCATTATTCTTTGACATTTATTTGATATTATTTTAAATTTATGATATTATACTATATAATAAAAAATAAATTTTTTTTGCATATGTTGCAATTTGAATTTTTCAAAACAGACATATAATACTCAACTACATTTGGTTAAATATTTTGGATAATGATTTAAAATCAGTATGACCAATATTAAAACCATTGTTACATGAGCATATTTAAAATATCAAAAAGTTTCAAAATATTATAGTTAAAAGGTTCAAATAAATAAAAAAATTAGAATTTAAAATATTAAAAATATATTTTTGGAGACATAATTATTATTGATATAATATAATATATATCAAACTGTAAATTTTAGATAGTTCACGGGTAGTTTGTTAAAATCACAATTATAATGGTAAAACGAGTTATGAATAACGGTTTTTACAAAATGAATTCTGTTACGGGTTGATCCTTTATAAAATATATTGTAAGTATGTAATTTTTACGTATATTCCTACTTCTACTATTTTTAATACAATAATTTTTTTAATTGTATCAAAACTCAATGTATTATTATTTACTCGTTTTTTTGTTTATTATTTTATCTAAACTTATTATACAAATATATGATTCACTGTAATCGAGTGCATTGTAATAAAATTAAAATGTAACATATTCTAATCCGTTAAAGGTTATATATATGTAATTATTTCTCCCGCGCTGTAGCGCGGGTCCGAACCTAGTTACAATTAAAAATGAATACTTTTAATTAAATACTCAAGGTTGTTCAAAAAGTAGACGTTAAAATAAAAATATAAACCCTAGATGTCGTCAACACTCGACAGACAAGTTAATGTCTAAATCGACGGAAAAGTCAGTTTGTAGAAAGACAATGCACGTATGCAAAGCATTATAGACCACATAGGTTTGAGCTAAACAATCTTGAATGGAATAATTACTTTACTACAAAGTGATGATGTCTCTAAGTCAAGCTCATAATTAAATAAATTGACAACGAAATGGAAAACTGATCATTCAACCAAGAAATCCAAACCGTGTTTAAACTTATCCAAAAGTAGATCAACTTTATTTCCATACTTGAATTTTTCAAAAGTGAAAAAAAGCTTAAACGAAAAATTGAAGTTAAGAAAAAAAGAATTTGTATTGGATGTCCCTAACGTGGGCAAATTATGATTTAAATGAAAAATGTATGGAAAAGAAGAATAAAACTGATGACACTTGGAGCTAGGTCCCTAAAGTGGGCAAAGATGATAACAAAGCAACACGCGATCAAAAGCTCAATGTGTCTTTTAGGAGGTCCCTAAAGTATACAATACGTATGGGTTTTAGATCTTATGACAATGATGAAGAAATGGATAGGCACTATATAGCATAAAGATTCACTTCAATTATCATCCAAGCAAGAGTCTAAGAGAAAGAGAAAATAAAGAGGATCTTGAGTCTTGACACTAACATCGTATCGAATCTCACCACTAATAAAAAAGAGAACATTTCAAGCCTTGCATCGTGCACCGGCTTTTATCTTTGGGGAAAATTAGGAGAAGATTCATGAAACCTAATAAGACAAGGACCAAGTTTCAACCATTGGTGGGTTTGAAGTTCTTTCTTGATGCGCCACGTTATTATATAAATTTCTTTGATAAGTAAAGAAAGAAATAACTTGTGTCAAATTGATGTTTGATTTAGGAAGCTGAAAATCATGCACGATATGTTTTAATCTAAACTTTAGTGCATTATATAAATTATGCTAGTGACTGATCGGATAATTTTTAATGTTGGTTCTTTTTTATTGGTTATGATTGGTTTGAATATACAATATATGACAAAATATAGCATCTAAACTCTGTATATTTTTTGTGAAGTACAAAAGAAAAAATTGTTAGGACTTCATATTTAGGAAGAATTCATCTATCTTAAACCTTATTAAAAATAACTAAAACTGTATAGAATTAGAAACCACCTCGTTTTAGTCACAAGACACACAAACTACATATATATATTTCTGAAGATAAGAACGTGATGCTAAGAAACAAAACTTAAAATTGCATCTCCACATCACGATAACGAAAAACCCCAAAAAACATATCAAAGACAAATCCGTATAATTTGTTTGATGATTGTACAATCAAGTTGGTTCAAAATAGGGGTTGAAAGAAGGTTGAATTCACAATATTGAAGGACCGATCTTGTCAGCTGTCACTTTCTCAAGTCGCATTATTATTGTTAGGGACCCTTAATATTTACTATTGGAAGATTGGGGCACCGGTCAGAATTGTATGGTTGCAACTTGCAAGGCAATGGACATTGACCTCTTCATTTTCACCCCACAAATACATTTATCTCGAATATTTGCTAATAAGATTTGAGATAACACATTTCAGTTTCAAACTGCTTTGACATTTTCCTCCTTTGTCCCACCTTCTCATTATCCTTACAAGTTTTTGTTCGAAATTTTAATTATATTATTGTACATATGTCAAGCAAATTATCACTATCATCATCTTTTGCTCGAGAATCAAGAAAGCCCAAAATATCATTGGCAATATTGGAGTTTTTAAAAGAAAACCTACCCGAATTACAAAGTAAACAGTGGGTTGACAAATTTTGTGGCGGCATTTATGCGCCGGATGTGGTAGGCTAAGTGCAAATGGTTTAGTTATGTTGTCTCTTAGCTCGATCTCTAGTGGGAAGTGGGAACTGTTCTTCTACGTCGAAAAATATATTCTTTCTTTAGTGTTTTTTATTTTCTTTTCATATTAGAGAAGAGATTGAGTTTGATTGGTTGGGAAACTCAATTTATTATTGATTTTATTATTGAAATGTTAATTAATAACTTCTCTTTTTTTTGTCATCAATTAATAATTTCTCTATTATTCAACTTTATTTCCATTATTAATTGCTATGTTGATGTTAAATAGAATCGTGTGCAATGTGCATGCGTATATACTTTTTTTTTATTCAGTGGTCTTTAGATGAAGTTAAAGTTTTTGACAGTAAGAAAATGAGTTTTTTCTTTTCTTTTCTCATAGTGTAAATTGTATTTCTTAAGAGTATAAGAAGAAGCCAAAAAATGGACACACACGATTTATACGAGTTCAACATCAAACCGGTGTCTATGTCTCAGAATGGATTGTGTTTGCAATAATTACCATCAAGAGAGACTGATAAGGTTCATGTAACAATGCCCCAATATAGTAAATTTTATATCTTCATTCTAAAATTGATAGAAAAAAAGAGATAAGGTTCCTCAAACAACCAAACCAACAATGCATCGTTTACATGCAACAATACAATAACAGCCACGTCGATATATAAGAAAACACGTACATGCAAGGCACATGACTTCTCCCTTGTTATATAACACAAGCTCGAAGCCTAAGTTGTTTCGAGAAGAGGATTCTCTTTGACACCATCGACACCAAGAAGAAAAATCAACATGGTGGATGAAATCAAATCGTTCATATAATATGTGAGAATAATTAAACATGTTTTTTCGTGATGATAATAATGTGGTAGATGGCCAAAAGAAAAGTAAAACTAGCCAATAAGAGAGACAATGACTGGCAACTCTCCACAAATGGAAGTGAGACCCGCTTTAGTTTCATATCATACTACATTTTGGTTATAAAAAAAAAATCACGAGGAGAGGCCTTGAATAAAATGATGCTTTGTGATCTACTAAGTAACGAGTGTGTTATTAAAGAGCCATTTAATTACCACAATTTATATATTCACTTTTTCACAAGAACACTAAGAGTGACAAAAACCCAAGTATAAAAGTTCGATCGAACCAACTTTAGGATTTCATTTTCGCCATAAAACACATGTTGTGGAAATATTTTTTAATTCTATATTTAGAACTTTGGTTACTAGTATAATGGACTTTTCTTTTAGTGGTATAATCATTATGAAAGTTCAAAGCTTGACTAAGGTCTTGAATGGATCCAACGATGCAGTACGGTTTCAAAGATGGGTTTTACGTTCTCTGAGTGCTACCATTCAACAAGTATTTGTTACACCACGATTCATCCACTCACGGTAAAACAACATTATGCTAATTTTTCATATTCGGCTTCTTTCATTCATTAGTGATATTGTATGTTGTTACGTGTGTAGTTTTTTCTTTTATTGGGTGTTCTGCACCACAGTCTCACATCACCATGTGAAGTTGTGAGCCCTGAATATTACAGTTGGAGTGTTTTCTAAAATTTGGGATATATAATACGTGACCATTAAAATTTCTGTATTGCATTACACTATACAAGATGATCTCTCTTTATTCCTCTACATATTATTAAATTCGACTACTAT